CATAGCCCCAAATTGTAGACCATCTCCAGCAGGTATCACCTTTCATCTATAGATATGAAGGGTCTGACACTGATCTGGAAAAAAACTTTTCAGTAATATGTAATTTGCCTATAAGCCATATGTTACTAAACTTCCTGTACTGGTCCTTCTCCATGCTTTGCATTCTGTTATGACAACATGGATGTTCCTCCCAGGCTCTGTCCACCTGTTCAGACACATGGCTGTATAAAAACCGATTTCTCTTAGTATTTCTCTCTGCAAACTTAACTTGGTATAAATGGTAAGATACCCACTGTAAAACCTGGTGGTAACTTCATGCTGTAAAGGGATATACTTTATTTATTCAATAGAAACTAGCAGAAGTACGTAACAAAGTGGTGTCATTAATTACTTTCAGCTGTAATTCCTGGTTTCTAATTGCTGGTGCCTTGCTAGTTTGCTACAGACTGCCTGGTTTTACTTGAAAGAATACAGCAATGAGGTGCTCTTGGCTTGTTCTGATATACTTCTCTTCCACCATAAGATGGCAGACATAGTACATAAACGTCCCAAAATATACTATAACTTACAATTACTAGATCAATATGTATATGCTGTTCCCTACTGTCTTTTACTGGTCTCACTGTACCATTATCTGTTACTGTATTCATGGTACGCTATTAGTTCATCACTGCTCTTTCAAAACAACATGACTTGGCAAGAAAAAAAATACAAATTAAAATTAAAAAATTGATCAGGCATAAAATGACTGTGTTTTGGTTAAAGTGCAGAGCAAAGTCACAATATAGGTATGGTATAGCTTTTGGTTTTATTGGGCTGTTTAGTATGCTGTAGGTTTAAATGAGAGACTTAAACCAAGCATCAAAACTGAACCTTTCAGACGTTAATGTGATGATAGCTGTGTTATTATAAGCCTAATGATATCTAGTGCACACAAGAATACATAGGTGCCATGCTGGGAAACCAATGATCTGGCTCTCATTCTGACTGCAGGCAAAGAATATCTCATCAAAGCTATAAATTTCATGAGTCTGTTCCCAAATTTAAAAGCCTTAAGGAAATGGCTTTCATGGTTCAAGAGTTTTAAAGGGTTGCTCTTACTTGGCTTTGTAACAAGGAAATTAATAGTTCTTCCAAAACAAATCAGAATTATGCCATAGCTGTATGCATTTTCATGCTGTTGCCTTCAGCATTTTACTTCCTTCTCCAGATATTATCGCTGCAGAATCCACATGGAATTCACTGTGGGGAAACATTTATTACCTGCTATGATTTCACACTATAGTCTTTGATAGGTGATAGAACTCGTTTACTCATTGCTATGTAAAAATTGTTTTTCTTTAGGTCATGTGAAATAAGAGTGTGTTTCTAATCAACCTTCACTTTTCCCAGAGTAAAACCCATCCAGCCCAATGTCAGGGAGAGTTAGTTTCTGTAGCATGATGCAGAGCAGCCAACCACGAGGTAGACGGTTTATGGGACTGCAATAACAAAGAAGCACTGAAGTGATACATACTTCTCTGTCAGCATGGCTTTTTCTCTTTACTAATTCTGACTGTACAAGTATTTAAGCTCCAGAGAAGGAATAATAATGTTTAAATAATTTCCTTAATGTAAAGGCATACAAATGCTGTCTAATGAACAGAAAATGAATATTGTGTTAGGATTAGCTCATGTGTGTCACATTCCATACATTCAATGCACTATGAGCAGTACTGTTCAGGGCCACCATAAGCCAGCAGCAAATGTCCAGTGTAGCAATACATTTCAATGTATTATTAAGAAAGTAACAAATACTGCAGCTTCTCATTTAAACAGTAAGAAGTTACAAATATACTAGGATTAAAATACCAAAATATATTTCTTTTTGTGCAGTATCCTTATGATTGCACAACATTTTAAATCCAACTGCTCTCATGTCTGTGGAGCTACAAGCAGAAGATTAACAGCATCTGTGTCAAAAGTAGTTTTGCATTTTAGCTCATGCCAATAATTTGGAGCCCTATCCTTAGTGAGAATGTAACATTCAGAATAAGAATACTTGAGTGATAATAACAATTAGGTGATATAATTAATCTAATAGCAAACTACTTATTGCACATGCATCTATGTCACATCTATGATACAACATAAACCATACTCTCATAAAACAGAAATGTTATTCTGTGGGTGATTGACAAGAAATTCCAGACTTCAAATTGCTGACCCCCATGTAAGGGAATAGTGCAAAGGTCAGACGGTATTTTCAAATAACAAAAATAATAGCAATTTTGCTCTTCTCTGAGGATGAAGTGATCGTCTGTAAAAGGAAATTGTCTGTAATTGGAGCCCACAAAATTCTCAATGGCCCACTGTTCTACAGGGCAAAAGAGCAAATATGGGGGACTGAACAAAACTCAACAGTAATCAATCATAAACTACACAAAGAGCAGTAAATTTGCTTAAATACGAGGAAAATCACAATTTTTCTTCAAGCATAGGAAACAATTCTCCCCTAAGCCACCTAGTTTGCACCTAACACTGGTGCAAACCAGAAAACTTCAGTTCACAACTGGGGAGCTCTACCACTGTCATGCATGAGAGGGATGGAGTAGGAAACAAATAGCTCTCTTTCAGAATTTCAGAGCAGCATGTGACTTTTATTGTTAAATAACTGCATACAGGGAGAGAGAATTAAATATAAAGGGTGTTATGACTGGTTGCCCTGGCACATAAACACAGGGGTGTCTGTGTATATTAATGCAGAAGGAATATACTCCTTCATAAAAAACTGCTGTAACCAGCTGAATTACAGCTGTCTGAACTTTTGCTCATCCCATCTCTAAGTTAGCCTTTGAGCATCTTTAGATATGGTTTGAGCTTTCATCCTACAGGAACTAGGCTGCTTTCAGTATCCAAGCTGGCTTGTGTTTAACTGCACCACAGATATATCTTTAATAAAAGCCACAGTATTCTGCATCAGATTTTCAGCTGGTTCTGATGAAGAGCAACACTTAGAAGCATCATTTCATAGTCACATAGGCCTGTTGCAGCCATTTGCTTTACCCAGTGCATTATATAACAAAAAACTCTGGATACCGAGAAAAAAATATATTCTGAAAAATAATTTAGAGGTTTTCACTGCAAAATACTACTGATAATCAGCACTACGTCATAATCAGCTGGGGTTGAGATGAAGTGAGACAAATATGACTGAATCAAAACGCAGTTCTAACTTTCCTTTCCAGAAAACTGGAGGACACCTATTTAATGACTTGTGCATAGACATTTTCACTAAATAGAGGGGGGTTAAACTGATAAATACTATACAGAATAGGTGACTTTATTTCCTTTATCATGATTCTGATCTAACTAAAATTTGCAGCTGAATTGATTTTTTTAATATATTCTTGAGTTTCCAGAATACTAATACGAATGTCATGACAAATCTGTGTTTGAATTTTCAATTAAATAACTTAACCTCATTTTTTCCCCTTTTCTTATAAATTACTTGTTCTGTCCTTCAGTTTCTCAGGTCTTTCAGCCCTTTCCAGTGGTGATTCTGCCCTTCTTCAGATCCTGATGAGCACTAAACTCTGAGAACTAACTTGGTCTTTCTGGGTTAGCTTGAAAAAAAGGAACAACATTCACTGTGTTCTGGCCTGCTCTGTGACCCTACACACTCCTGTAGTCCTGCGTGGTAAATCTGTGCTTCTGCCTTTCCTAAATCTGTCTCTTTCACTGCAGTGAAGTCAAAATAACACTTCCTTTCTGAGAGGGCTACAGTGGCTGATCTGCACCAAACAGACCAATGCTGAATTTATTTTATATGCCTATTTACATGATAGCTGCATTTGTTAAAATGAGATCTAGTGTTATTAAGCTCCTTTAGAGTAACTGTGATTGGAATTTGTCCATGAGCTACACACATTTGAACCCCATGAACCAGAAAAAAATTATAAAAGATACTGCTCAAGCACAGGCATGTTGGTTTTAAAACATCTGAAACTATAATTTATACAGATGAGATGAAATTAATGATGAATACTATTTAAAATCTGGTTTAACACTCAATACACACAGTAACAGGAAACATATGGAAGAGCAGCAAAAGTGGTCAAATTTTTCAACTGAAGAGGATTCATTTCTCCTAGAGCAAGATAAACTTTACTCACAGGACTTCAGTCTTCAGACTAATCTTAAAATGGAATCAGTAAGAGTTTTAGTTTCTTCATTGCAAACTATGAAACTATTGGGCTATAAAACAACATCTGATTTCTTGAACTAACCTTACCATTTAATAGCCTGCATAGGCTAAAAAGCAATGGTAAATCAGAAATCAAAACAATAAGTACAGGAAGTGGTTTTTATTTCAGATTTTCATGATTCACTTAAATGTCTAATGACACAGCAAGAAGTTATATTATTCTATCAGAATGGAAAGATTGGTATGAAGGAAATGGACCTGTGTAGGATGGTCTAATCAGGAAAAAAACTTGACATTCATTAAAAAACAATAAGCACATGAAGATGGAAAATAATACATGGAAGAAAACAATAATGTGACATGAAACCAATTACAAATGTCTAAAACTAATTACTTACAAAAATGTATCAAAAAGCATACATGCCAAAAATATGTACCAAAAAATCCTTGCTTCCACCCAGTCCTCAGCAATATTTACTTCAATCACTGATCAGAAGAAATTTCAGAACTCATTCAGTAGAACAGATTAATCTCAATTTTGCAAATCAAAGCACTTCTTCAGAAATATCAAAATATGTCTGAGTTATAACTGTCTTTTAAGGATAGCATTGCTTTGTAAAAAAAAATGAAAATAAAATTGACCTGTTTCCTAGGTAAATGCTATTAGTGATGAATAACCCATCAGCTTTCTATACTGTGTTCAAAAAGCTTTTTGAATTTTATTGGTATGGTGCTCAGTTCTGATAATTCAGCTTTTAATGCAATCAAGAATATCACCAGGAGCTACTTAATTAATTCCCCAGTGCAGCACAAATTTAATTTTCAATGACTTTATTGAGAACTTTTTTTGTTAATTTTACAAAGAGAAACTATAATCACTGTTACACAACTAGAAAATATTTCAAACAAGACAGCAATCTCCTATTTTTTTTTTTATTTTTTCTGTTCCAAATTCAGCTCCTGAGATGGATTTTCTGCCTCAGCTTCATTTCCATCTTCCTGCAAAAGAAAATGAAAACCTGAACATTATTCAACTTATTGAAGAAGTACACTTCTTGTACTTATACATATGTACAGAATTCTGTACAGACTTTTGTCATTTTTGCCTGACCAATAATAAGCAAAAAACATACTTTATTCAAGGATTTTATTTTGCTCAAGCTTTCAAATAAAAATGATAAGAAACTTAAACAAGCCTAATCACCTAAGTTTATGATAGAAAAATAACTTAATGAGTAAATATTTCACTGACCAATTTGCTGGATGGTTGCATAAAGAAATGACTAAACTCCACATGGATGGTGATATTCAAACGTCTGCAGCAGAAAGTACTGCACACCTTTTCTTTGTTCTTGACCAAAGGTTTCCACTAAATTACTTTTGAATGCAAGAACTTTCATCTCTGTTCTAAAAATTACTTTTGAAAAGCATCTGCCATTGAAATATGTTTCATTTTTTTGAGACCAGATACGTTTACTTCACCACTTGATAAAAGACAATAAATTTAACTTCAGAGACACTTTATGTGCTGCAGCATCGTATTTTTGTCCCATCTAGCATATTTTCTTGACAGGTCTGCCAATTTTCCAATTACTTGTACCGCCATATGTTATCTGAAGATCAGTCAGGTCTAAAATAGGAAACATGAGCATGTCAGGCAGCAGCATGCTTACAATATTCTACAGCTTCAGCTCCAACAGTAGGGCTCATAATTCACCACGGGTTCCTCTGGATCTCACTGAAAAAATGACGTGACATCATAATGCCCTTTTCCATAGGAATGGATGCTATTTTGTGTTCAGTACAAAATTGTGACCGCCAAAGTATAAATTATGCAAGACTGAAAAAAAGTTTTATAAGGCAACTTGCAATCCATTGCATTGTGAACAGCCCTCATCACACATTCAAAGTAGGGGCAGTTTTCCTGCCTGCATTTTAATCCAAAATTCAGAGGACCTTTCTGTTTCAAAAACACAAAGGATAATAAATGAATAGACATTTGAGAATGAAGAAGTGTCCTGGCTGCTGTAACCCCACTTGTCACAAGTGAGCACTTGAGAGAAAGGAAAACCCAGGGACATTAGGTGGGACCCAGGAGCCCACGGTGCAGTGCCCTGCTTTAAAACAAAACCTTTATTCCTGTAGGAAAATAACTTTCCTATCTTGCATCCTAGTCTTCCTTTTGCCATCAAAGGGTGTTTTGTAAAGATAATTGTAATAAAGATTTAGAGGTACAAAATATATAGGAAGATCACATGGGCAGCACAAAATAGAATAGCAACAGAAAACCTCATGAAAAAAAATGCAGTCTCAGATTACTTTATACAATAAAGTAAAATGGAAAAGCTAGTTGTTCTATTAAAGAAATAAACACTCCAAAACACCTGCTTCTAAATCCTCACCCTTTTGGGAGATAGGCTACACAGTGAGAAATATATGCATCACTGACCACTGAAGGCCAAATCCTTTTTTTCTTATCTTTCTGGACTGTCATCTCTTCAGTTACCTTTAAAACACCTAGTGAACTCTGTTGGTCTTTTAGTTCAGGTGAAGAAACATGTCTGTGCCTGTGTGTGAAACCAAAGGTTGTTGATTTACTGAAATTACAAGTGTAGCATATATTCATGAGAGTGTAACATACAGCACAGACACAAAGGTCAAGGAGCAGTGTATAGCTAAGCTTAAATGGTCACAAAGCTTACAGGTCACAAAGAATAGCATTGAATGAAAAAGTCACCCACAGAAACTTTTGCCTGCTATAGAAAAACAGCCAGGTTCTTTCATGAAGGACTTGTTAATAGAAGAAGAGCAAATGTGCGTGTTTCTGAAGGTTCTTACAGAAATGGTACCACTCAGCACCAACTAATCCACCTCCCTAACACACAGCGTGTCATTCATTATTTCAACACCCTGACTTGTGTTGCCTCCTATGGGGAATATAAAGCCTACACAATCATTCTTTTCCCAGTACACTTGATGTATTTCTAATAGATATCCCTAATAGAGGGAACAAGCAGAAATTTCAGAGACTCCAGGGCCATACCTTCACTGAGGACTACAAGATGGTGGGGGGATATTAGGCTCAATACTGAACATTGACTTCCTGAGTCTATCTTTTGTAGAAAAAAAAGGTTTTATACAGTGAAAGAGGTTTTGTAATAGAATCTTCTGGCTTTGTGTAGATTTCAAATGTTTTAATTCTGTGCTTATAAGGTCATGCTCACTCTTTGGCAGATTTCCTAGGTTACAGCAGCAGCTGCAGTCATCCGTATTTTCTAAGATGCAGAAAAGATGTCTGAGTGGCTGAGGCAAGTCCAGGATTTCCTCTGTGTGAATACTCAAGATGGAGGAATTTGCTTTGGGATATTCTGCAGTACCAATACTCTCTCCTTTGTTCATGTCCTGGTGCTTCAACCAGGTAATACATATTCAAACAGGTACAATTTACCAGCAGACCATTCATTGTATTTATGTGGGCAAATTCCCACACACAAACCATCCATATAAAGATTGATATTTTAGTGGTGTTTTTTTTTGTTGTTGTTCTTATTTTGATGTTTCCACACACAAAATATTTCTGAATATTGTATTAAAGCATACTCCACACAGGACATCTTAATTTTGCAGAGAGACTTTTACTCCATCTTTGTTTCCAAGAACAGAAACACTCATTTTGAACAAGTTTTGTATCTCTGAACATGGGTGACTGCTATGCAAAACAGAGTAATGATGGCTGATCTTTCTCATAGCATGAATTATCAATTTTCCTTTGTCAGATATGTCTTCAGTCAGGTAAATTCCCAGACCTGTGTATATCACATGAAACAACAGTGCCAGCAGAAGGAGATTGCAGAAATGACTGTTGGGGGACACTAGGAAGTATGAACCACCAGTCCTGGCACCTATGCAGCTTTTTCCAGAAAAAAGGTGACAGCAATGGGCTGGGAATAACACACTAGTGACACAAAATTACCAGAAAATTTTGAGATGTGAATGCCTATAGATCATATGAAGTGCAAAACCCCTGCCAGTATACTTGGGAAAGATTTGAACCAACTATAAAGAGCAGACACATTAGCCATACTCCGAGATGTGAAAACTCACTATTCTTTCAGTTTGCTGACAATGCAAAACTTATATGAAATTTATGATCTTTTTTTTAATAGCCCGTGGGGCATCCCAGTGATTACACATTGAGTACTGAATCAGTTGGAGTTTCTAATGTTATTAATAATGTCTGAATTTTCAGCTAAATAGCCTATATAGCCTAATTATCAAGAAACTAAGCCAAACAAACTGCAGATTGAATATACATATTTAATATATTTGTTTTAATAATTACCACCTATCATTATCATCATTATAATGCTTATAATTCTGATGAATAGCAAAGGAAAACCTTTTCTTTTCATGTTATCTGGTAAAAAACAGTCCACAATGGCAATGTGTACAGTTGACATTACCAGTGCCTACACAGCAGATGAAATACTGAATTCCAGTTTCTGTTTCACAGAAATTCAACATAGAAATTTCTATTAATGCCTCACATCTCTATTTTATGTGAGTATTTATTTTGCTTCCTGCTGCCTATGACTATACTGTCTAGTGCTTTCTGTCCTAAACTTCTGAAACAGTCATTTCAATGTTGGAATGTTCAATGAACAAAGCAGATGTCAGAAATCAAACTTCTCTCCGTAACTTTTCTGTCTACAGACAACCATAAACTTGAATATTACACAGTGAATTTTGAACACACCTAAAAGATGCCTCAGCACAGATCTGGTGACTTGTAAGAGTAGCAAAGGGAAGTGAATCCCTCAAGACTGTGTAACTGTGCTTACTGAAAAAGTGGATTTAACAGCCCAAAGATTATTTTAACATTGAAATTAATGACGTTTACTAATCTGGAATTGTCGTTATTTCAGATTTACAAAACCAACAGCGATAAGGAAAAGGACACAGCGTTTTATAAAGTGCAGTTAAACCCAACACCCTGAATTGAAATGTCTAGCTCAGGAGCTCCATAAGCCAGTCATCAGTGTCCAGATGATGCTGCTGGACTGTTGGAGACCTTGGCCTCTAGAGCGTGCCCTGAAGTGCCACATCGACAGGTTTCTTGAATACCTCCAAGTATGGTGACTCAACCACCTCCCTGGGCAGGCTGTTCCAGTGCCTGACCATTCTTTCAGTATAGAAACTTTTCCTAATAGCCAATCTGAACCTCCCCTGCCACAACTTCAGGCTATTTCCCCTAGTCCTGGGAGAGGAGGCCAACACCCATCTCCCTACAATCTCCTTTCAGGTAGCTGTAGAAGGCAATGAGGTCTCCCCTCATCCTTTTCTTCTTCAAACTAAACATCTCCATTTCCCTCAGCTGCTCCTCATATGACTTGTACTCTAGACTCTTCACCAGCTTGGTAGTTCTGGACATGCTCCAGCACCTCGATGTCCTTCTTATGGTGAGAGGCCCAGAATTGAACACAGTACTCAAAGTGAGGCCTCCCCAGTGTTGAGTACAGGGGCACAATCACTTCCCTACTCCTGCTGGCCACTCTATTCCTGATACAAGCCAGGATGCTGTTGGCCTTCTTGGCCACCTGGGCACACTGCTGGCTCATGTTCATCCAGCTGTCAACCAGCATCCCCAGGTCCTTTTCTGTTGGGCAGCTTCTCAGCCACTTTTCCCCTAGCCTGTAGCATTGCCTGGGGTTGTTGTGACCAAAATGCAGGCACTTGGCCTTATTGAACCTCATACAATTTGCCTTAGCCCATAGATTCAGCCTGTCCAAGTCCCTCTATAGAGCCTTCCTACCCTCAAGCAGATCAACACTCCCACCCAATTTGGTGTTGTCTGCAAAATTACTGAGGCTGCACTCAATCCCCTCATCCATATAACTGATAAAGATACTGAAGAAGGCTGGCCCCAAAACTGAGCCCTGAGGGACACCACTGATGACTGGACATCAATTAGATTTGACCTCATTTACCACAACTCTCTG